TTGTATTAGTGCAATATCGATCTAGACACACAACAAATAATCTAGATTTGTAAAATTTATTCTTATATTGACTTTGATACCCCCTCTTACTCGTGCCATTATTTACATATTTATTTGGTGGCGTTATTAACTTTTGTCAGTCTCTGTTTTCTTGAATACAGTTATTGCGGGTAATACAAAGACGAACAAACGGAAATTTTGTTTTCTATCGCAACTGGAAAGAATTCAAGAATGGCTTTGGGGATATATACGGGGAGTTCTGGCTCGGTATGAATTAGGGAATACATTACGTAACTAGGTTTGCATGACAATGAGGAAAAGGCAGTTTGTATATGCAAAAATAATGCTGTACATGTATATACACACCCAAAACAAGGATACAGTATGTACAAACATTATGCTGTTCGTGTAAGTTAACGCAGCGATGCTTTATGTACATGTATTAATGATAAATTGTGTGGGAATTGGAAATGCTTCATTTATATACTCGCCTTTTTTCCATTTCTCTGTTTCAAAGGCAATGACATTATTCACCTTCTGACAAACACTTCGAGTATTCTTCGGGTGGAACTGGAGGCCTGGGACGGAACAAAGGAATATGCTCAGTACTCGATGTTCCAGTTGGCCAACGAAGATCTGAATTACAGACTTACTGCGCAAGGGTTCTATTTTTTTCAATTTAATTTAAATTGTTCATATTTATCCAATCTAACTACTCCCAATCCCTTACTGCTCAATCAGGGAAACATAGTCGGCTAACCGCCGTAGGTATGTCTGTAGATCATATCTACGAAAACCTATTTATATGTAAATTTTCGAAAGATTACATTGATATGTAAAATTATGTTTGGCATTTAATGCATTCTCTGTAAGAATGATACCGGCAAAATATGGATAAACTAAAAAATAACTGAAAATAACAGAGCTACGGGAATGTATTGACCGATCCTCTTTCACTTCTCACTCTATCAGGATTATTAGACATGAGCAAGGCTTCTGATAAATAATTGTATAGATATACATATGTAGTTCAGTATAGTATTTATAAAAGCAATACATTTTGTTGCAATCGGCACATCAGCTAGTAGAAATAAAAACAAGCTCCACAGCCTGTGATATGGTGTACCAATTTGGGTACTATCATGGCAAGAAAGCGGATGAAATATCACCCCGAGTTTGGCGTTCTATTTTAAAAAACAGTTTACTTAGACTCAGAACTTTTCCTGAAAATAGACCACCATTGGTAGTCTTTGGCAAGTATCATGAAACATTTCAGATACAACATCTGTTTTTTTTAGATACCTCTAAAAAAACCTGTACCGTCAAAATTGTTCCTATTGTGGTAGTGTGACGTTATAAGTGTAATGGAAAAAAACACAATTTGAAGGGCTGTCCCTCGAGATTTCTACATTATTTTAAAGCTTTGTTTTTTAAAGTGTTTCTGTGCTTTGATTTTCATCCTGTCCTTCATTCAAGTTGTTTGTTAAAATCACATCTTGTTTTGTATTGTTTCTTTGTAACCATGATTTCAAAAAATGAAGAACTTTATGAAAATACAGTTTTTGTTGTTAAAGTTGAATTTCCGTTTTCTTGTTGTTAAATTTAGTTGGCGTCATTTTTCACACCCTAGGATTTATTATTTTAGCTAATTATTTGCCTACCTTTGTGTATTTAGTATGTTCCGGTCCAGTGATCATTTCAATTTACGGAACCTAGATAAAATTTGTTTAAATTTTTTGTTGTTTCCTTTTTTTGTAATGAGAACGCGAAGGAAATTTCAGCGGCGTAGAAATACTAAATGCCCTTTAATGCAAAGATGATGAAGTTGATACCGCAGCATGTCGAAGTTCACAGAGCTTGAAATGGTCTAAGTGACCGACTAGATTGAGCCTCACGCCATGCGAGTCATGCAGTTATTTCACGGTAATTATATATTCCAGTACACGTGTCTGCAAGTTAAGTCACCTATGAAACGTAGCCGGAATATTTATTCATTTTAGTGTCGATAGTGTAACATGTAGTGTTTAGATATATCATAATCAGTGATGACAATACAGTAATATAAAAAGCAAGAAAAGTAAGAAAGGAGTAAACAAAACCTGATTCAAAACAACTCAGGTTGCTTATGCAAGTTTGAATGATTGTATTGAAATGATTTATTTAAGAAATCAAATAACGAAGTTCAACATAAATGATGAACTGAGATAAAGAGAACTTCTTGTGATTGGTTATCATGGTGACTGGAAACAGCTGTCTTTATATTGGTTCCCTAGAGTCAATAGTGTTTCTGATGACAGCGTTTCCCGTCTTGCTGACTGGTGCATTGATCTCTGGTAGTATTTTTAGTCCGGAACGGATCTTTAAGTCGTTTGTTTTATTACTGAGCGTTTTGCTTCAACGTAAATGTTTTAATGTTTCCATCATTCAAATGTTTATCAAATTACTACTTTTTCTATGTCTTGATTTATTTGTTAACTTAAACATAACTTTCATCAGCATATTTGATCAAAATATTTACATTTGGGGAATTCGATCTGAATACAACAGCTGAAAATTGTTTTTGCAATACAATACATGTATGTTACGTATGTTGCAGTTAATATCTTAAACTAATCAATATCAATAGCAAAATTCAATATACTAGATGTTTGGTAATTTGAAATATGCTTATATCCAATCTGATTAAAACCCTATCTTGATCTACACTCCGTTCACTCAATCTGCTACCTGTACGGAGTAAATGGAGCGTAGATCAAGATATGATTTTAATCAGATTGGCTTATATCAAGTTTTGTTGTTTTTAGAGGGAAATAATGACGAAGTGCTGACTTCACTGTCGTATATATTCAAACAGTGAAACAATGACGAAGTGCTGACTTCCCTTTTGTGAATACAATCAGAAAGGAAAACACAGAAACGTTCCATATCATTGAAGAAGTATCTCATTATACCAAGAAATGTTTCAGAACATTTCCTTTACTGAAATTAATGCATACATAATTAATACTTTTCAGCTTTTCATTTATTGGTTTTAGTTTGTCATTGATTACTGATATATCGCTAACATCATTTATTTTTATTGGTGTTATCATTTTAATTATCAGTTCTAAACATGTGTGTTATACATCTGTTCTGTGTATGATACATGCACGTGATTAATATTTGTGTAAGATACACGAGTATGATGCATGTTACTACTTATATGTTATACTCGTGTACTGCATGTGATACTTGTTTTATACCTGTGGAAAATACTTGTGTGTATTATGTGTATTACCTGTGTGCGTTACACGGATAATGTGTGTGATACACGTGTATCTTTAATGATACATGTGTATTGCATGTATGCGTCAGGTTTATAACTTGTACACAAATGATAAATTGAGCGGTATTGATAGCCATAATTAGGGAATCAGGGAAAGGAGCAAACCTCCTGGATATTCTGTGTTTGTATTTATATTTCAGTAGTAAATCTGTGCTAATATTCATGTCTCGGGATATACTTGTGCTAGCAGCAAGATTTCATGGTAACTTTAAGGTACACTGTAATAACTGAAAATAATAGTTACTTTGTACTTAATGCCAGACGTCGTGGTATTTGTGTTGGTACCTGTAGTAAGTCTTTGTCGACGTACGGTCATCTCTTCTTGTTGTAGCGTCAGAACGTAAATTTTGACGTGTCCTGATATTTTAGTCTATAATAAATTGCATAGCCTAACATAGCTGTCAACCATATGCAGGATAGAACTACTTACAGCCTGTAGCCAATCAACATCATAAAAACTTGCTTTTCCAAATTTGAAAGTGGGAGTTACTGTGCTTATATACGTGTCACAGTATTGTCGGGCGTTCTGTCCAACCCGATTCCAATCGATTTTATTCTTGAGTCAAACCGTATGTTTTGACATTAATGATAGTTTGGTACATATGTGTAGTTTTATATGTACATTTAAGCGCTCCATAGCATGAGTCTGTTGCCTACTGCTGTACTACTTACGTACACGAAGTCAAAATCAAGGTATTTTCTTAGATGCTTAGGTGTGAATATAACATAAGTAACAATTGATAATAATATCATTTATGCCTACTCCATATATAACTCAACGCAAATATAGAATTGAACAAGGCCATCATAAGATGACAACTTATTATAATGACATCATGACACAAACTATGAAAATGATGTTTACTGTCAATTTACATCCTTAGGTGGGGACTCGACAGAATGACGCCACACCAACACACACATATATATAGAACACAATACAAACAATATTAAAAGGGTGGCATGTAAGGGTGGGTTTTTCAATAAGGCAAATTTGGTATAAGTTTCTAAAAAAAATGCCGCTGTTGAAATTTTTCTTAAAGATGAAAAAAGGCCTACAGCCAATCAGATTGTAGCGTGGTATGTTAGCTAATCAAAAACCTCAAAACAACGGAGGCACCAAGAAGGGGGAGAGGCACCTTAAGGGGGCTATGTTCGTAGCAACCTTTTAACAATACCTGTCAAACAATCTAATGGAGGGTTTATGTGTCGCGACATAAAATCAGCTATGTATATAACTTGTATTTATGGTATATGTCGTGAACAAACAAAGAGCGTATATGTTCATTATATGTTATTGTTATATTTTTTTCTCAACTTTGATATAACACCAATTCTTAGTTAATGCTTGAAATTATTTTATTGTCTTCATGTGTTTGTTGAAAACCATTTTACAATCAATGATTGTAAGTCTATATATTATGGCACAATGTAATAGCTTTTTTTTTTTTTTATATAGACTGGGTGATTTATGTTTGCTTTTTTATTGTTAGACTATATGTAGGTTTGGTTATAGAGTGTTGGTGCTGTTTTCCGATAAACAGGCCGTTTAAATACTATCTGATACAAGACTTGCTTACGAATTGTGTATAAAAGTATTAATATATGGAATTGATGAATAAAAACAAAAATATTCAACTTTCAACAAATATCTATATTTTGAGGTGTTTGGATGTATTAAAGGTATTAATTATTAGAAAATACCTTTTTGCCTTAAGTCTTGAAGCAGAGGTTTTATTCAAAGATTGTTGAGTCCAAGAGCTAGGGAAAGTCGTAGAAACTAATTGTCCAAGTGAATCACTGGCAACATATCAATTGTGGTTTATATGTAGCGTTCCTTCCTAGAAGCAAACCTTTCCGAACCCAGCTTCATGAACATACTATTATTCACCACCGATCAAATATTCCATATGTTTTACTAAAAACAATGATAAAATGTAAGACACTAGCAGAACTGGGCCTTAAACACAATCTGTCCGCTTCATAAACACTCGAACCATGTTGTGTACATCAGTCGTTGCAACTTCTGTTGCATTCTCAACAGACGAAGGAGAATAACCTTGACATTGACCAGATTCATGGTTAAAGATGAAAGCCTGACATGCTTCACGTACGTGACACTCCTTTCCACACTCGCCCATGTTGGTCCTTATTGTGCTGAATATACCATGAATGGAGATCCATGCGACGTAGTTTACACTCCAACACGTCTGGTGTAGTCCTAAATGGTTACATAAACAAATACAGCTATTTATGCCTCAGTTCAATCCTAATTTTCTTAAATGTTTTATAACAAAGCTTGTGAAAAACATCGTTGCAAGATCCGAGAGATATTAAAAAAGACGATTATTCATCCTAACATTTCTAACTAAGTATGGTGTTAGTAACGGACTTAACTGATATTAATAGCATAGCGATACGTGATCATAACCATGTGGTCAATTCTTAAAAAATAGAAAATGTAAAGAAAAGTTGATAACAAAATCGATGAAGCTATGGCAACATGTGAACAAATAAATGTTTTACACGGAGACCTATGAAAAGCCGTAAAATATTTCGACCATATGTTTTTGTTTGGAAAGTGTGTTCTGTTTAATTTACGGCAACTGCCATATAAATCTAAGTAAATAGTGGAATTATAAGCGTCCCGAAAACATAATTTGTTAACAAGTACAACCATTTATATTCAAAGTGATCGTTTGAAAGCATGAAACACATGAATAAATGTTATTATTTAGATACTTTTCAATTCTCATTTTAAACATTTGCTTTAATTAGTTATATGTTATCAGTCTTTGGCCCTGATTTATTGATGTTTTACCTACCAGACTGGAGAATGGGACATCCTAGGATTTCAAGACGAAAAGCCCGATAATTGGTCCAAGTTGTAGGGGTTACCCGGATGTATGTAGCGACGATTGAGGTATCAAGGATCGACTTGGCCAGATTCCAATCGTCAATATTTCCGGTAAATAGCTAGAGACATAGATTTCAGTGTAAACAAATATAAACAACATAGAATCATGTGAGCAGGGTAAGTGCATTTCCAAAAAGAATGGCTAGAATTAACATTGATTATAAGTCGACTCGTACAGGTTAATTGGCCATTTATAGCCCACTGGTTATGGGGTAAACACAGAAATAGACAATAAAGGTCTTAAAAACGGGCAGATATAGCGACACATGTAAACGTACGGGTTACTAGCACCAGAGCTGTGTCGTTTGCCTCCCTACCTTCACGTTTCCGGTACTGTCCTTGATATCTTGCCACGTGATACCATTGTCGCTATACTGGACGCTGTATTCAGTTATAAACTGATAATTTCCACTTCTTCCCTGTGTTACAAACCCTGTGATCATAGATGATTTTCTTAGTCGTACCTTGGAAATTGTAAATTAAAAGCCACCTTAAAAATATCATTATCATTTTACTTCCCTGAAATAAACATATTTTTGTAAGTGGATAAAGATAGCATTGCCTTAAATTTGAAACCAATGTGCAAACTATATGGTATAAGTTTGCTCCTGTCCATAATATGAAGGGTCTTCCATGGCCTAAGTCTCATACAATCGCCTATAACATCTGACCAATCTGGGCTGCTTATTATATCTTCCGCAAGTTCTGACCGGCATGTGTATCTTATTACATATCATTCGAACACTACACGTTCAGGTTATTTCCCTAGAGAGATTTAAGTGTGAATATTTACATAAGCCCTTCCCGTTTTCCATTAACTCTATGGAAAATCAGCCTGCAGTTACTTGATAGTAACTGCAGTCTGCATTATCTGGTCACATGACTATGGTTTCCGTGACGTCAGTGTTAGCAACCACTCCCACCGATACGATAGCCGCCATCTTGTTGTTGTCGTTTAATCTGGGTGTGACAGATAAATAGTTAGACGTCATGATGATTTATCTGTCACCCATATTGCATTCATATTGGAAAATATTCAGAATCCATATATCGATCAATGTCTGATGATTTTAATAATATATACAGTCGCTATATAGAAATATTTATATGTGAAACTGCTTTTAGAACATGTGTTTGGTCGAGACGGAAATACCAGCAGGCAAGGAGTGGAGGGAATAAGAGGAAGTTGAACAGCAGAACGTAATGGACAACTAACTGATTATCACTATTTACGTTTGCATGGAGAAAAAGCAACGACATGGACCGATATCATGTTTTATACTACATTTAGACTTGGACATTAATATTCCGTACTCTCTACCCCCCTCCCCCTCTCCCTCTATCTCCAAATAAGTGTATGTATATGGGTGTGAGAATGAGTGAACGCATGCACGACAACTTTAGCTGCCTTATTTGTAAAGTATGTTTGTGTATCATCTTCTAATTTTGTTGTGTTTTGATTGTAATTTAAAAAAAAGGCTTTTTATAAGTTGTATAACTTGTGCCCAATCCAGTTGCATTATGGCAATAAAATATGTAAATTAAAAAAAGCTTGATGCGAGACAGGTACATATACGTGAATATGCAAATATATTGATTTACCTGAAGGTAGGATCCTAAATAAGCGTAGTAAGCCACTATTGGATCAAGAATCCTAGCATGCTGTGGATGAGTTCGTGGGTCGCCACCATAAGGTAATAGTCCAGTGAGGGCGTGGTCTTCTACACCAAGTGGCCCCGTCACGAGGCTCGAATTACACGGAGCTGAATTACAAAATAAGATTTTTCTATCTAAAATACTAGCTGATTTGTCATCGAATTGTGTTAATTTCTCTCAGATAAATTTATAGTTATTGTGTTTAATTTTGAGTTAAATTTCTTGCATATTTACCATCAAAAGTACTATTTTCTTAGTGCTGCAAATAAAAAATGAGGTCGGGTGGAGTGGGTGGGGTTGGTGTTGAGGTTGGGGGCGGGGTTGGGGCCGGGGGTTGAGGCTGGTGTTGGGGGTGGGTAGGGGTTGATTATGGCAAACTCTAATATTTGACAGTGCGACACTTGGCAGTTCTTCTTGATGTGTTAATATTCGTTGACTATATTTGTTATTGACCTAATGCGTTCCTGAATTTGATGATTTTTTTCAGGGTTTAACCTACCTTCAACAGGTACGGTCACTTAAGGACGTGTCTCCATGTGTGGTGTATATGCGTGCATATGTGAATGTGTGCTGGAGGCAGGGATTGTGGGTGTAATTGCCTCCTTGTGATAGTATGGACCTAATTCCGATTTTATAGTGCTATCTCACTGAAATACCACGCCGAAGGCACCTAGCACAGCATTCCGCCTGGTTACATTATACTGACAGCGGGTGAATAAGTTGTTATCATTACCCTAAATGCTGAACGTTAGGATGGGAATAACAGTTACCAGATTGGCGACATAAGGACACAACAGTAATTACATAGGTATATTTCAAAGTCATCAACGAGGAACGTAAACAGACTGCGTACCATACAGAGGTGTAGGGACTTACAACATACACGTACACTAGTTATAAATACAATCCAGTAACATTTTTTCAAGGTAGATGTATATCATATAAAATATTCTAAATACCTATTTTTGAGCTCTTTAATGTACTATATCTCCTAAAGCCCAGCCACTCTTAATTACCTGATTTTCAGGGACATTATGATGTGACAAATCTTCAAATAGAAAATTTCCAAGGGCATAGATTCAACTTTTTTTCACAAAAAGATATGTATGAGTAGAAGCTAATCAGACAATAGCACTTAATACGAACCAGTCTGAGCCCTGAGAAATACCATATTCGCCACCATAATTAGTGTCCAGGTCTTATGCAATTCAGCCACACCTCCGGTTCTCATCGAAGTTTGTTGCTTCATTTTGTTTCTTTTGTTGTAAGGAAGCACCTGTATAACACAATGATGATCATATCAGGGTTATACCGACACATTTCTTTTGTAAACACATTATTTCACCTTTAATACACTCCTGATAATTTCCCCATTGTAATGGAATCCCTCGAAAAAAACTATTATTGAGGTTCCACTGACTCTCATTCAATGTTTACCCCATCATTCCCTAGCATAACCTAGCACCCTTGTGTGATCTAGACATGATATAGACAGATTAATTTCAAGATTTATAAAGTTAAGCAAGAGGCCTTGCCGAGCACTGAACTTATTTTGTTTTTGTAATTGTTTATTTTTCGACGATTTTTTCAAAATAAATAAAATGAAAAGAAACACACACACACTCATACTTACAGAGCATACATGCTAGCACGAGACATCTTCATAATCAACACATGCACAGGTATACATTTACCATAGTACATGTATCACTGTTCACCAACACACACATATCACAATGTGCACATGAACATTTGGTCACTATATTTTCTACTGCCTATCCATATAACCTGTGCTTTTGTAGTATTTATCTTTAACCCAGAGATATTTGCAAAATTATTCAAGTCATAGATAGATTCCTTAAGAGACCTCTCTGTACAATCTAGTATCAACCCAGAATCATCTGCATATTGTATATTTGAAATGTCTATATTTCTAATTGGATGCCTTTACGATGGTCATTATTTCTTATTTTTGATGCTAGGACCTCAACACAAAGTATAAAAGTATATGGGGCGATAGGATTGCCTTGACGGCCAACGTCACGTCTACCGTGAATTTAGCATGTAACGTTATCGTTACATTGTGTATATGATACACAATGGGAGAACAGGGTAGGAGAAAAAGAATTATTCCCCCCCTCGTGGGTGAGATAGGGAAATCTCCACCCTCGGGAAAAGATTCTTATGTTGCCAAACACTCGGCAAAGCCTCGTGTTTGGTAACTTAAGAATCTTCCCCTCGGGTTGAGATTCTCCTATCTCACCCCAAGGGGGTGAAAGATTCTATAAATCTTCCCCTACTTTGAGAGTGTGACAGAGAAATTTCCAACCCGAAGGATGATACAAATTCGGGAATATCATCCCGAGCTGATCTCTCGACTAAAACGGGATACATACCTTTTAAGTGTGGGATAAGCCGGTGTCTAATAGGGGGGATAAAGATTTCTCCCACTCTTAAAGGTATGTCTCCCGTTTTAACCGAGAGAGATTAATATAATCAATCCTTGACGTGAGATATGGATAAGGGAATTCAAACCGAATGATTGCATACCCCAAAACCTTGAAATATTAGAGATCCTTTTCTAATTGCTCCTCTAAATGAGCGCATTCCATACCACAAAATTTTGAAATATTAGAGATACTTTTCTGATTACTGCTCTAGATGAGTGCATAACATACCCAAAATCATGAAATATTAGAGATACTTTTCTGATAACTGCTCTAGATGAGTGCATTACAAACTCCAAATCTTGAAATATTAGAGACACTTTTCTGATAACTGCTCTAGATGAGTGCATTACATACCCCAAATCTTGAAATATTAGAGATACTTTTCTGATTACTTCTCTAGATGAGTGGAAAACATACCCCAAAACCTTAAAGATGGAAATATTGATTTTGAATTTTCGTTGAAATGATGTGCTTACACTATACTGGTAAACATGTATACAAGTTCATAAAAAAGATGTTTCAATAAACTTACCATCAATAATCAACAGAATTACTCTTCTCCATCCATGCTAACTGTAAATTCTCTCTCGCTGTTGATTTGTATTACAATAGCTGAAATGTCACCTGGTTACAACATCAATTATTGAACGTGCAATTGTCATGGGAGGTTAATCCAGGCCACTGTTGAAATTGAAATGCATTTGGTCCATTTACTTCAATCTGTCCGAAGGGGCACCAATAATGCTCACATGCCCACTAACCAGGTCTGGTATTGGTTTGGCGGATGGTGCAATTACCGTTTCCTCTTTGTTCCGCTTGGTTGGCGTCATTTTTCACATCCGAGGATTAATTATTTTAGCTAATTGTTTGCCTACCTTTGTGTATTTAGTATGCTCCGGTCCAGTGCTCATTTCAATTTACGGAACCTAGATCAAATTTGTTTAAATGTTTTGTTGTTTCTTTTTTTTTTGTAATGAGACCGCGAGGGAAATTTCAGCGGTGTAGAAATACTAAATGCCCTTTAATGCCCAGATGATGAAGTTGATACCGCAGCATGTCCAAGTCCACAGAGTCAAATGCCTTTTACATTGTTTGGCAGACTAATGGAACTGGTGATGGAATAAAACGTTATTTAAATTGTCTTGCTCTGCTCATGTTTTGTGCAAATTGAAAAATCGTTTGTTCAGTATCCATATTATAGTATAAACGGTATGCATAATGATATTATTCAAATGTCTGAAACCCTAAAAGAGTCTCAATTATGATCTTTCTGACCGTATTTTCATACTTTTTTCCGTTTAAAATTTTGTAAAATATGGCGAGAAATTATCGGAGATAAAAGTAAGCTGTCATTTCTTTGTAAAACAAAAACAAAAATAACAAATAACAAAAAATAATAATGGCGAATTAAAATTCGATTCCATTTGAATAACCTGTGAAACCTTGAAAGCCTGTACATGTATTTCTATTATATAGAAACATATCTGTCAGTATATGGGATTTTGCGCAATATTTTGTCCCAGCTCACTCACTTAATGTTTATCAAACGCTAATGGCACCATTTTATTGTCGAAATTGGCGTGTGTTTTTTGTGGATTCAGAATAGCTACTGATATCTGCTTGTCGTCATATATAATTTGTATAGCATTGAAATGTAACATGATCATACCCGGAAGTCATAACAAACTTTGGACATGTAAATGTGTAAAAAAAATCTTATGTGAAATGTCATCTTTCGGAATGTCACGGCTGAGAAAACATTCCTTAAGCAAATTTAATTGATTCCAGCATCTTGAGTATTATTCACAGGTCGTTGCAACTTCTGTTGCATTCTCAACGGACGAAGGAGAGTGACATTGACCAGATTCATGGATGAAGATGAAAGCCTCACATTCATGTGTTCTTATTAACATAAACATTATTAAGATGTTAATTCTCTTTGTGTGTAAATCTGAGTAATTGATATTTGGTTTTTTTCTTCTTTTTTTTTTTCTTTTTTAAATTTTATAACAAAATAAAGCCAGAAAAGATTGAGCCTCACGCCATGCCAGTCATGCAGTTGTTGCACGGTAATTATATATTCCAGTACACGTGTCCGCAGGTTAAGTCACCTATGAAACGTAGCCGGAATATTTATTCATTTTAGTGTCGATAGTGTAACATGTAGTGTTTAGATATATCATAATCAGTGATGACAATACAGTAATATAAAAAGCAAGAAAAGTAAGGAAGGAGTAAACAAAACCTGATTCAAAACAACTCAGATTGTTTATGCAAGTTTGAATGATTGTATTGAAATGATTTATTTAAGAAATCAAATAACGAAGTTCAACATAAATGATGAACTGAGATAAAGAGAACTGTCTTGTGATTGGTTATCATGGTGACTGGAAACAGCTGTCTTTATATTGGTTCCCTAGAGTCAATAGTGTTTCTGATGACAGCGTTTCCCGTCTTGCTGACTGGTGCATTGATCTCTGGTAGTATTTTTAGTCCGGAACGGATCTTTAAATCGTTTGTTTTATTACCGAGCGTTTTGCTTCAACGTAAATGTTTTAATGTTTCCATCATTCAAATGTTTATCAAATTACTACTTTTTCTATGTCTTGATGAAGTTAAACATAACTTTCATCAGCATATTTGATCAAAATATTTACATTTGGGAAATTCAATCTGAATACAACAGCTGAAAATTGTTTTTGCAATACAATACATGTATATTACCTATGTTGCAGTTAATATCTTAAACCAATCAATATCAATAGCAAAATTCAATATACTAGATGTTTGGTAATTTGAAATATGCTTATATCCAAACTGAGTAGAACCCTATCTTGATATATACTCCGTTCACTCAATCTGCTACCTGTACGGAGTGAATGGAGCGTAGATCAAGATATGATTTTAATCAGATTGGCTTATATCAAGTTTTGTTGTTTTTAGAGGGAAATAATGACAAAGTGCTGACTTCACTGTCGCATATATATTCAATCAGTGAAACAATGACGAAGTGCTGACTACCCTTTTGTGAATACAATCAGAAAGGAAAGCACAGAAACGTTCCATATCATTGAAGAAGTATGTCATTATACCAAGAAACGTTTCAGAACAGGAAAGTAATTCCTCTACTGAAATTAATGCATACATAATTAATACTTTTCAGCTTTTCATTTATTGGTTTTAGTTTGTCATTGATTACTCATATATCGCTAACATCATTTATTTTTATTTGTGTTATGATTTTAATTATCAGTTCTAAACATGTGTGTCATACATCTGTTCTGTGTATGATACATGCACGTGATTAATATTTGTGTAAGATACACGAGTATGATGCATGTTACTACTTGTATGTCATACTCGTGTACTGCATGTGACATTTGTTTTATACCTGTGGAAAATACCTGTGATATATGCGTATTACCTGTGTGCGGTACACGGATACTGTGTGTGATACAGGTGTATCTTTAGTGATGCATGTGTGTTGTATGTATGAGTCATGTTTATAACTTGTATATAAATGATAAATTGAGCAGTATTGATAGCCTTAATTAGAAGGTACATCTGTGAAAGGAGCAAACCTCCTGGATATTCCTTGTTTTTATTTATATTTCAGTAGTAATTATGTGCTAATAATCATGTCTCGGGGTATACTTGTGCTAGTAGCAAGATTTCGTGGTAACTTTAAGGTACACTGTTATAACTAAACATAATAGATAATTTTTACTTGATGCCAGACGTCGTGGTATTTGTGTTGGTACATGTAGTAAGTCTTTGTCGACGTACGGTCATCTCTTCTTGTTGTAGTGTCAGAACGTAAATTTTGACGTGTCCTGATATTTTAGTCTATAATAAATTACATAGCCTAACATAGCTGTCAACCATATGCAGGATATAACTACTTACAGCCTGTAGCCGATCAGCATCATAAAAACTTGCTTTTCCGAATTTGAAAGTGGGAGTTACTGTGCTTATATACGTGTCACAGTATTATCGGGCGTTCTGTCCAACCCGATTCCAATCTATTTTATTCTCGAGTCAAACCGAATGTTTTGACATAAATGATAATTTGGTACATATGTGTAGTTTTATATGTAAATTTAAGCGCTCAATAGCATGAGTCTGTTGCCTACTGCTTTACTACTACAAGGTCAGTTCTTAGATGCTTAGCTGTGAATCTAACATAAGTAACAATTTATATTAATATCATTTATGCCTACACCACAAAAAACTCAACGCAAATATAGAATTGAACAAGGCCATCATAAGATGACAACTTATTATAATGACATCATGAAAATGATGTTTACTGTGGGGGGTGGTGGGGATTCGACAAAATTACGCCACACCAACACACATATATATAGATCACAATACAAACAATATTAAAAGGTTGGCATGTAAGGGTGGGTTTTTCAATAAGGCAAATTTGGTATACATTTCTAAAAATATGCTGCCACAAAATGGCGCCGTTGCATTTTTTCTTAAAGATGAAGAAAGAGGCCTACAGCCAATCATATTGTAGCGTAGGATGTTAGCCAATCAAAAATCTCAAAACAACGGAGGCACCAAGAAGGGGGGGGGGGGGGGGGGGGAGACGCACCCTAAGGGAGCTATGATCGTAGCAACCTTTTAACAATACCTGTCAAACAATCTAATGGAGGGTTTATGTGTCGCGACATAAAATCAGCTATGTATATAACTTTGATTTATGGTATATGTCGTGAACGAACAAAGAGCGTATATGTTCTTTATATATTATTGTAATATTTCTTTTCTAAACTTTGATATAACACCAATTATTATTTAATGTTTGAAATTATTTTATTGTCTTCATGTGTTTGTTGAAAACCATTTTACAATTAATTATTAAGGTAAAGAATGTAACGAGTGACATAGCATGTAAGCCTATATATTATGGCACAGTGTAATTGCTTGTGTTTTAATTTTTTATATAGACTGGGTGATTTATGTTTGCTATTTTATTGTTAGACTATGTGTAGGTTTTGTTATAGAGTGTTGGTGCTGTTTTCCGATAAACAGGCCGTTTAAATACTATATGATACAAGACTTGCTTAAGTATTGTGTATAATAGTATTAATATATGGAATTGATGAATAAAAACAAAAATATTCAACCTTCAACAATTATCTATATTTTGAGGTGTTTTTTGATGTATTAAAGGTATTAATTATTATAAAAGACTTTTTTGCTTGAAGCCTTGAAGCAGAGGTTTTATTCATAGATTGTTGAGTCCAAGAGCTAGAGAAAATCGTAGAAACTAATTGTCCAAGTGAATCACTGGCAACATATCAATTGTGGTTTATATGTAGCGTTTTTTCCTAGAAGCAAACCTTTCCGAGCCCAGCTTCATGAACATATTGTTATTCACCACCGATCAAATATTCCATATGTTTTACTAAAAACAATGATAAAATGTAAGACACTATTAGAACTGGACCTTAAACACAATCTGTCCGCTTCATAAACACTCGAATCATGTTGTGTTCATCAGTCGTTGCAACTTCTGTTGCATTTTCAACGGACGAAGGAGAATAACCTTGACATTGACCAGATTCATGGTTGAAGATGAAAGCCTGACATGCTTCACGTACGTGACACTCCTTTCCACACTCGCCCATGTTGGTCCTTATTGTGCTGAATATACCATGAATGGGGATCCATGCGACGTAGTTTACACTCCAACACGTCTGGTGTAGTCCTAAATGGTTACATAAACAAATACAGCTATTTATGCCTCAGTTCAATCCTAATTTATCTTAAATGTTTTATAACAAAGCTTGTGAAAAACATCGTTGCAAGATCTGAGAGATGTTAAAATAGACGATTATTCATCCTAATATTTCTAATTGGGTATGGTGTTAGTAACGGACTTAACTGATATTAATAGCATAGCGGTACGTGATCATAACCATGTGGTCAATTCTTAAAAAATAGAATAATAAAATTTAAAGAAAATCTAAGTTGATTACAAAATCTATGAAGCTATGGCAACATGTGAACAAATAAATGTTTTACACGGAGACCTATGAAAAGCCGTAAAATATTTCGACCATATGTTTCTGTTTGGAAAGTGTCTTCTGTTTCATTTACGACAATTCCATATAAATCTAAGTAAATAATGGAATTATAAGCGTCCCGAAAACATAATTTGTTAACAACCAGTGCTCAGCTATTACAAACAAGTACAACCATTTATATTCAAAATGATCGTTTGAAAGCATGAAACAAATGCAATTATTTAGATACTTTTCAATTCTCATTTTAAACGTTTGCTTTAATTAGTTATATGTAATCAGTCTTTGGTCCTGATTTATTAATGTTTTACCTACCAGACTGGAGAATGGGACATCCTAGGATTTCAAGACGAAAAGCCCGATAATTGGTCCAAGTTGTAGGGGTTACCCGGATGTATGTAGCGACGATTGAGGTATCAAGGATCGACATGGCCAGACTCCAATCGTCAGTATTTCCGGTAAATAGCTAGAGACATAGATTTTCTTGTAAACAAATATAAACAATATAGAATCATGTGAGCAGGGTAAGTGCATATCACAAAGAATGGCTAGAATTTACAATGATTATAAGTCGACTCGTACAGGTTGATGGCCATTTATAGCACACTGGTTATGTGGTATACAAAGAAATAGACGAAAAAGGTCTTAAAAACGGCCAGATATAGCGACACATGTAAACGTACGGGTTACTAGTACCAGAGCTGTGTCGTTTGTCTCCCTACCTTCACGTGTCCGGCACTGTCCTTGATATCTTGCCACGTGATACCATTGTCGCTATACTGGACGCTGTATTCAGTTATAAAATGATAATTTTCACTTCTTCCCTGTGTTACAAACCCTGTGATCATAGATGGTTTTCTTAGTCGTACCTTGGAAATTGTAAATTAAAAGCCACCTTAAAAATATCATTTTACTTCCCTGAAATAAACATATTTTTGTAAGTGGATAACGATAACATTGCCTTAAATGTGAATCAATGTGCGAATTAAATAGTATAAGTTTGCTCCTGTCCATAATATATAAGGTCCACCATGGCCTAAGTCTCATACAATCGCCTATAATATCTGACCAATCTGGGCTGCTTATTATATCTTCCGCAAGTTCTGACCGGCATGTGTATCTAATTCCATTTCATTAGAACACTACATGTTCAGGTTATCTCCCTAGAGAGATTCACGTGTGAATATTTACATAAGCCCTTTCCATTTTCCATTAACTCTATGGAAAATCAGCCTGCATTATCTGGTAACATGACTATGGTTTCCGTGACGTCAGTGTTAGCAACCACTCCCACCGATACGATAGCCGCCATCTTGTTGTTGTCGTTTAATCTGGGTGTGACAGATAAATAGTTAGACGTCATGATAATTTATCTGTCACCTATATTGCATTCATATTATCTGTAACTGCCATCTGACTGACGTTAAATCATAAATTAGTAGCAGCGGTTATCGTGGCCATTCTCGTGAAAAATCAACACATAGTACACATCGTTTGGACGATAAGCTTCTCGTTATTTTTACTGCGTCTCATTGATCATCACTCTGAAAATATGTCTGCTGTTACTTCCACGAAAGTTTTGTTCTCTTCAGTTTTACTATTTTTGACAGTTGTTTTTCCTTTAGTTGTTCTTTTTGGACATTGTAGTGTAGCAATATAATTATCCTATTGATGTGATGTGAACCGTGAACTGGGCCCTTTTTTCTCAGAAGAGGAGAAAGCTACGTGGAGCTCTGAAGTTCTCCAATCAAAGTAGGTATAGATGGAACACTGCTTCATGTCTCATGCCCGGTCTAGAAAGGGATATTGCTGTTAAAATAATAGACTTTATTGAGGAGTGTTCAACCACAAATAATTATTTTCTGGTGTTGTGGAAACAATTTTGTCCAAATTAAAAAGATAACTCGCGACCAACATAATCGATATTGTATTACTTGTATCGAACGCACCTCCGGTCTGGCATGTTGAGGCTGTACATCTCTTTCCTATATAGATTCGCAAGAAGTCTACATCGGGACTATATTGAGACTGTGATAAGACTGAATATTATACTAGAAGCTATGGTCGACACAAAGGTTCCCTATCCTTCTGGCATCACCGTTGTTTTTGTGCAAATATACGCCCTTTAAATGCTGCATGTGTGAGGTGTTGATGTATATGCGCTACAAGTCATGTACCATGTTTTTTGTATATCTTTTTATAATTCAAAGTATATCCATGTGCCCCTTATCAGTGCCTATAATTTGTACCCCACCTTGTTTTTTTTTATTACATAATAACGGGAGTCAATGTAATTCGGGTCTATTTATCATCCAAGAGGTGTTGATGTATATGCGCTACAAGTCATGTACCATGTTTTTTGTATATCTTTTTATAATTCAAAGTATATCCATGTGCCCCTTATCAGTGCCTATAATTTGTACCCCACCTTGTTTTTTTTTATTACATAATAACGGGAGTCAATGTAATTCGGGTCTATTTATCATCCAAGAGGTGTTGATGTATATGCGCTACAAGTCATGTACCATGTTTTTTGTATATCTTTTTATAATTCAAAGTATATCCATGTGCCCCTTATCAGTGCCTATAATTTGTACCCCACCTTGTTTTTTTTTATTACATAATAACGGGAGTCAATGTAATTCGGGTCTATTTATCATCCAAGAGTATTACTTGATTGTCATAATTGTAATTATTTATTTATTTATTGACGTGTTGTGTTTCTGAGTTCTTATTATCCATGTCAGTTACAGCCCAGCAGTCAATGTTGAAAACAAGAATGAAACCAACTTGTGAATTCTCTGGGAATAATCAAATGTATTTAAATGTTTGTCCTTATAAAATCTAAATATCTTTGCTAGCCCCTACTTGAATCCACGTCTAAAGGAAAATATTGGTTTCAAATGTAAATTTTATAGCTGACCACCTTGATCTTAAATGGAAGACAAGATTATTCATTTCTAAAAATAATGTTACCTTCTAAAGATAATAAAAAGCCATATGTTCATTCCAGAAACTGAGAAGATTTTAAAGTAAAAATCTCATATCTAATTATGAAATCATACATTTGCAGAAAAGTAAAAAGGGAGTTAACTCAAATTGAAATTCATTTTAACGTTGTGAAACTCGCAATTAACATACAAACATTTAACCACATCCATCTTCAAAAAGTTGAACATATCTTCCACTGAATTTAATATAAGAAACAATCAACTTATCTTTAATTCAATTGAAGATGTCCTCAATTGAATAAAAAAACACATCTTTGAAAATAGCAATAAAAAACTTGAAATGTCAAAATATAAGATGGCTTCCTGGCGGCCATCTCATTCATCTTGATATTCAATGTACATTAGTAATCAAGCGGAACCGACATCCTTAAGAAATAATATAAACAAATTTCATCTTTCATAATCTAGGATGGCTGTCTGGAGGCCATAATCTTTTCGAACAGTCTCAAAATGAAACCTTCACATAAATATTTTGAAAGATTCATACAGTTCTCTTGAAAAACAGCGATAACAAAAATTGTTCAAGGAAGGGAGACGGATACCAGGCGACGGACCACGTACCACGGACGAAGGGCGAATTTAACAACCCGTTATCTGGGCCCGTATTAACTTAACCGTTAACAAATATCAAAGTTGATAACAAATATAACATTTCGTCAACGATTCGAAAAAAATGATGGTGAGAGCTTCAAAACGATTACCGTTGTAAATGTTGCATTTCCCTTTTTTACCTTATAGCATGATATTTAAATGAGTTACAAGAAAATTAGTTTGATAACAGAAACCATGCTGGAGCAGTTTCATAAATACGGTCCCTGATATTTTTAAACTGATATACAATTAATCGGAAGGCTTACATTTTCCTAAAATGATTTCTTCGTTTTTTTCCTTGTTGTTCTGTGATTGAAATTATTTTTAACAATATAAACATTGATTTTGTTGATAACCATAAGCATATTGGAGTATTCATCGAGGATAATTGTAAGTGAACCTATATATCACATTGATAATATATGTAAACAAGAGGCCCATGGGCCTTAACGGTCACCTGAGTTATGTAAAAACTGATGTTATCGATGTTGCCTAATGAAAAAGAAATCCTTTTGTAACAAAGGTAACTTGAACTACATGTAATGCAAAGGTAGTGTGAAAGATCTGGGTAGTATATGTACTATGTACAAATAGTGGTTCTGTCAGTTATTTTTGAAATTTTTGTCAATTTGACCGTTTTGGCCCCGCCCCTCAGGCTCCTGGGGGCTGCGGACAATATAATTCACAATTAAACTATAGTAAAGTTTACCCCCTCCCCAGGGGGAAACGTGAGACCCCAGGGTCATGAAATTCACTATTTTGGTAAAGCACCTTAAGACCCTTCCATCTATGAAGAGTATTTGATTCTACCATATCTAGGTCTTGAGAAGACCAAAACCAAGAAGTCAATTCAACCCTTTCTGGCCCCACCCATCAGCCCCTGGGGGTCAGTCAGGGCTGATATGTGCATACCATCAAACTGCTATCCAATTCTGATAATGCTAACCAAGTTTGAATTAATTCCAATGGAAATTAAACAAATGTTGGTCCAAAATGTGATTTCCCTATATAAACTATAGTAAAGTTTATCCCCTCCCCAGGGGGAAACGTGAGACCACAGTGTCATGAAATGCATAATGTTGGTAAAGCATAAAGACCATTCCATCTATAAGGAGTATTTGATTCTACCATATCTGGGTCTTGAAAAAAAAGTTTTGAAATTTCAGTCAATTTGACCCTTTTTGCCCCTGCCCCTAAGGCCCCTTGGGGCTGGGGACCATATAATTCACAATTTTGGTTGATCTTTGGCCATGGAAGTTTTCTGCAAACTTTCATTGAAAAAACTACCTATATCGAGTTAATTTGGTTGCTGATCAATTGTGTACACGTGACCTCCCTATTGAATACACCTTACTTCTCTTTTTCAATTACAATACTTAAGTAGAGCAAAGAGTTAAACTTTAGTTTAACAAATACATACCTATTACCCTGAACCTTCTTCGTTTTGGCGATACAAATAATTTGGAACGAGAAAACATTGCGATTTTCATGCGCACTCAACAATATATTCATGATTCTAATCGATTTTAATTACTACGTCTCTTTACGTCTCCCTCTCCCTCTCCCTCGTTCGGAAAATATTCAGAATCCATATGTCTATCAATGTCCGATGATTTTAATAATATATACAGTCGTTATATAGAAATATTTTTATATGAAACTGCTTTTAGAACATGTGCTTGGTCGAGACGGAAATACCAGCAGGCAAGGAGTGGAGGGAACAAGAGGAAGTTGAATAGCAGAAAGTTATGAACAACTAGCTGAGTATCACTAGTTACGTTTGCATGGAGAAAGAGCAAAGACATGGACCGATATCATGTTTTATACTACATTTAGACTTGGACATTAATATTCCGTACTTTTTACCCCTCTCCCCCTTTCCCTCTCTCTCCAAATAAGTGTGTGTATATGGGTGTGAGAATGAGTGAACGCATGCACGACAACTTGTCATTTAGCTACCTTATTTGTAAAGTATTTTTGTGTGTCATCTTGTAATTTTGTTGTGTTTTTGATTGTAATTTTTAAAAAAGGCTTTTTATAAATTATATAATTTGTGCCCAATCCAGTTGCATTATGGCAATAAAATATGTAAAAAAAAGCTTGATGCGAGACAGGTACATGTACGTGAATATGCAAATATATTGAATTACCTGAAGGTAGGATCCTATATAAGCGTAGTAAGCCACTATTGGAT